GCTGCTAGGTTTACCCTGCTCCTGAATGAATCCTGAATTAAATTTTTTTTTACAGTTATGCAAAGCTCCGAATGGCTAATTGATTATGTAATGATGCCAGGCAAAGGACGGTCTAGCAATAAAACTCCAAAACAATCGAAACGTACGGACTTCGGACCGCAAAGTAAGGGTCAACTATCGCTAGCCAAAGAAGCTACTAGCAAAGAGATGACAGCTAACGTCGATACCATTGAGACTGACGAGGCCTGTGGTTCACACTTGACACTATCAGACGATAATGTGCTGTATGTCGTTAAAGAAGAAATACTGGGAGATACTGAGTCTTAAGTCAGAATTTTCTGGAAGATTTGTTTTATTTTTTATTAAGTGATACATAGACATACAATAGTGACACATAGACATACAAAAGTGATACATAGACATACAAGAGTGAAACATAGACATACAAAAGTGATACATAGACATACCAAAGTGAAAATGATTGGTACAACAGCAAAAAGAACAAAACATGGGGGACATAAAACATGGGGACATACAAAGAGATACACATATTGAGACAACATGAAACATTACACATGTGCGGTGTGTGTGTATGTGTGTGGAGGTGTGTGTGTGTCTGTGTGGTGTGTGTAAAAACATTGAAGCAGCGACAGAACATGGGGACAAACAAAGGGATACAAATATTGAGAGAACATGAAACATTACACAATGGGCGGTGTGTGTGTATGTGTGTGTGTGCGTGCAAGCGTGCGTGCTAGAAAGAAAAAAATAAACAAATAAATAATAATAATAATAAACAACAAGTCAATTAACAAGATCATCAACACCAACATTATTTAATACGATTTGAATTTATGTTTTATGAGTTAAGAGATACTCCAGCCTCCACCTTCTTTGCCTGTTATCTGCTGTCTTTATGGATTGTGTGTGTGTGTGTGTGTGAGATGCATTAAAAAGGGCATGATTGGAGTGTTGGAGCAGCGGTGCTGCTTCAAGTTCTCCTCATGTGTCCTGAATCCCTTGCCATGTGTGTATGTGTTTATTTATTTTTCCCTTATTAAGTTTCTATTTCTTAGTGTGTGGTGCATTAAAAACACAAAGGGTGGCGGTGGCTGGGATTGGGGCTGTGGCGAAATTAGTTGATAACCGGTGTTGGCAGTGATGACAGTGAGGATAGGTTTAAACTGAGAGATAGAAAATAAGGGAAAGAGGGAGAAGAAAAGAGAAAAAGGGAGTGTGAGATATAAGCAACACATGATAGAGGATCAAAATGTATGTAAGTAATGTTTTATTTTATTTTTATTTTTTTTGGATAGTGATGGGGAGTGGCATGTCTGTTTTTCTTGTCCTGTTGTGATGCGAGTGGCTTTGTTGATAATTATAACTGTAATTTGCAACTTCTTAAAAGAATTAAACTTGATTGATATTTGGCGTCAAGTGATATAAACTATTCGTGTTACTCCAAAACTTTTACTACATACTCCCGTATAGACTACTTTATAATATCGACAGAACTACTGGCAAACATAACAGACTGCCAGTAGGATAGTATAACTATTTCAGACCATGCTCCTGTTAAAATCTTATACTCCCAAAAGAATCTAAAGGTGGACCCTCCAAGATGGTGTCTACACTTAAAAGGGCTTAAAGATGAGGATTTTTTGAACTATGTGGAAAATAAAATGGATGAATACTACTCAAACTTTGGCATGTATCAGATGGGATGCCCTTAAGGCTTTTATAAGAGGGCATATGATTTCCTTCACTGCCTCTAAATCCAAAAAACTTTGTAAGAAAAGAATACAAACGGAAGAGAAAATTTAAGCCGCAAGCGGCGTCGAACGGCCCTCGCCTCACCGCTAGCACTCCCCGCACCATGCGCGCCACGCGCACCACCCCGCGCCACACGCACCACCCTGCGCCACGCCGCCCCACACCACGCCGGCCCACACCACGCCGCCCCAAACCACGCTGCCCCACACCCCACGCCGCCGCCCCGCACCACGCCGCCCCGCACCAAGCCGCCCCGCACCAAGCCGCCCCGCACCAAGCTACAACGCGCTGCTCCATAGCGCCCCGCACTTCGCCGCACCACACCGTACCATGCAGCATCGCTCAAAGGAGGTGGCTCCGCCGTGTGATGATTTGTTCCGGTAGCAATAGAAGAATGTTATTCATTCTTCTATTGCTAGATGATGTGGAGCGATTTTGAGGCGAATCGGTGAAACGGTCGAGGAGGAGAAGATTTCCAACCGACATGTATGAAAACTATTGCTGTTCATTTTTCCATTTTGCAGTGAAATTCATGGGCTTCCTGTTTGTCAGAGGGCGGGGCCATAATAAAAAAAATTTCTTGTCCTGACTTGAGGAACATGTGTACCAAATTTCATGGCTCTACAACAAACTTGATCTCCAAAACTCCCATAGGGGTATTATTTTGGCTGTTGTAGGTGGCGCTGTTCTGGCATTTTTTGAGTCCTATAAAAATAAACAAAACACCAAAAGTATAATAAGGAATCAGCAAACCGGGCAGCGTCTAACATTATTCGATTGAATCAATCTTTTTATGAACAATGTGAAAAACCAGGCAGAATTCTAGCATGACAAATTAAACAACTTGAGACTCAAAAAAGCATAACTAAAATTGTAACCAATAAACAGAGAGACAATAGTTGACCCTATACAAATAAACAAGGAATTCAAAAACGATAAGACTGTAGGGCACGGTCACATAGGTCTTCTCTCTAGATTGTGATATTATGCAATAGAATACCTTTTTAGATAAGCTAACCATTCCCACAATTTCAGATCATTTTAGACAACATTTAGATACTGAAATTAGTGAGGAAGAAATAAAAAAAAAATCATGGACAGAATGTCTATGGGTAAAAAATCTGGACCATATGGGCTCCCCATTGATTTTTATAACAAATTTCAAAGCAAAATAATAAAGCCGATGTTAGACATGTTTTTAGAATCATTTAGGAAAGGTAACCTTCCTGACTCGATGACAAAAGCATCAAATATTCTCTTACCCAAACCAGGAAAACCTAATGACAAATGTGAAAATATGCGACCTATAAGTTTGTTCAACTCTGATCTAAAAAATACTCAGTAAATTATTGGCTGTGCGTTTACAAGATTCTTTTTTATTTTAGGCCGACAAGGTCTTCACAATGTCAGCAGGGTCCTTAATATTATCCATGGATTGAAAGAAACCACAGAAGCGTTTGATAAAGTTGAATGGTCTTACCTCTTTGAGGTTTTAGAACGATTTGGTTTTGGGGATATCTTCTGCAATTGGATTAATTTACTTTAATCCCACAGCAGAGATTTTGACAAATAGAAACGTGTCTTCACCAATTATTGTATTGTATTGGATCTTTCAAAGAGACTGTATACACATTGATTTTTTTATATTTTATATTGTAGGCTTATAGTTTAATAACCAATATCTGTGGCCACAACACTTAAACTGGTATCAATTAGTTGTAAATTTGCAAAAAGAATTACCTAAGATGAACAAATTTCAATACATTCACAGATTTTAGACTATTAATTTTAGACAATCATAAGGCTGACATTGTTATCAGAAGGACAATGGTCAGAATCTGGTCTCATGGAAATTGGGTCTCATCCCATTAAGGTTGATGAAAGAAAAAAGTAAAGCACACTGGATATAGTCTTTTCCCGGAGTAAACATCAGAGTTTAATGGAAACCACATGTGAATTCTTTGGAAAAAGCGACGCAGCTCAAATTAGAGGTGTTAAATCTTTCTAATTGTTTTTTCCAAAAGAGAAAAGTGTTAATGAACCTTGAACCATCAGAATAAGATGGAAACAGGAGAAGAGAGGGGAGGTGAGTTTCCTTTCCGATAACTCCAAAAAGGCCCAGGCTGTGATGGCTCAGTCAGGACTAGACTAGAGTTATATTTTACATGGAGAAAGAATAAACAATGGGGCAGCATTGGTCTATGAACCTAATGGTCATGGGTTCAATCCCCCCATGACCCATGCCATCTGCTCCTTATGATGTCTGTTGTCATTGTGTCCTTGGGCAAGCAACTTAACCCCACTTTGCCTGAAGCCCAGGCTGAAACACCAAGGCTGTGTCTGCGTTGACGAAGCCATCTTCCAGTGGACCCACCACCTGCAGGAGGATCAGTGAGAGCCTTGTGCTATGAGGATTGGGTGGCAGCTCTGATTGCCAACCCCCCGACCCAGAAATGGAATAGTAAAGGGAATGAAAATGAATTTTTAGAAATAACACTATAATGGGGGCGACAGTAGCTCAGTTGGTAGAGTATTGGCCTTAGGGTCAGAAGGTTGTGAGTTCGAGCCCACCAAGGGACCTACTCCACATTAAACATTAAAAAGATGGAATAAAAAAATAAAAAAAAAGATAAAAGGTCTTGCTCCAACCAGCGGCTACTCCACCTCTGCTGCTGTGACCTGAAGTGCTGTTGCATTTTATTATTACTATTGTTAGCTTTTTTAAATGATCAATTTATTTGTTTTGTTTGTGTGGCTGGATGTATTTTTGGACACCTGAATTTCTCCTACAGGTATCAATAAAGTATCTATCTATCCATCTATCTGTGGGCGACAGTGGCTCAGTTGGTAGAGCATTGGCCTGTAAGCCTGAAGGTCGTGAGTTTGAGCCTACTGCGAGACCTTCTCCACCGACTCCACTGATGTCTGCTGTCGTTGCGTCCTTGGGCAAATCACTTAACCCACTTTGCTTATGAGGAATGCAGAACTAATGCTCACTGCATGCCCCCATGTGTATTCATTAAAATAAAATTTCCCCATTGTGGGACAAATAAAGGACGTGATTCTATGTATCTAAATGCACACAGCATGAGGGATTAAAACGGTTTTATAAAGCTACAGGATAAGGATACATATACTCTGATCCGTGTAGTTTTGTTGAGATGGAGAATATACATTTGTTTAAATTTAAAATATCCCTGATGAGATCCATAAAACAGTTCACTCACTCGTCGCGCCAGCCCCAGAGCGATGTAGCATTTCTCTCCTGCGTCCACGATTTCCACCTCGTAGTAATGACAACGAGTGGACAGTGGGAGGCGCGCTTGAGCCAAACCCACGTCCATGATGCTCTTCCCTTTGCCCACGTACTCCAGCACCTGACATAGGGAAATAGCAGTCAAAACATAATCCTTATGCAATTTTAGTGATCATGTAAGACCATAGTTAACAAACATCTCTTATAACAAGGGGTGAACATCATTTTTTTCACTGAGGTACTCAGATGAGTACCAGGAGATGGTGTTTGGTACTTAATCCATTTGTCATGTGGTTCATAATCGAGATTTTATATAAATAATGACTCACAAGTATGCCTGTTGTGGTTTGTATTGTTTGATTTGTTCTCAACCTTTTACTTTTGAGCACAACCAACAATAATGCAAGGGGAAAGGTAGGTATCCCAGCTTTAATTTAGTGAGTTTCGGGAGGAGACCCGGGGGAGACATGGACACTTCCTGAGGCTCTATTGTCCAGCTCTGTTTCTTGTGGCTGCGTGTCTATTGCGTTTACAGGTTACGCAAATACACGCACACAACAAGCAGGGTGGCTGAGTTCTCAGCAAGAAGGTTCAAATCCCGGTCAGAGCAGTGCCTTTTTGAGTGGAGTTTGTATGTTCTTCCCCTGTCTGCGTAGGTTTTCTTCGGGTGCTCCGGTTTACCTTACCACTGAAAACATGTACAATAGGCCTGGCATGCGCCTCCTGTACTGGCCTCACTCCCATCTCTGTGAGGAATGAGAGACAAATGCCCACAAGAATTATAAAGAGCTCTGTGACTCTAGTCTGGGAATGTTGCTATAGACATACAAATGTATTTACATACTAGAGAAGGGTCCTGTGTGCGCGGGTATGGTCTGCGCTGGGTAAATTATGAACACGTTACGGCTGCGCGCTCGCCACGTTGTGTCCAAGCGGCTCCCAGGCCGCTAGAGGCGGGAACCTCATTACAAAGTCATTACAAAGCGGCCGCATTGCTCCAGGGTCAGGACGCTGCAGGATGTGGAATCCTGTTCTATGTAGACGTCACCCCCCCAACATTGCACCACGTCCTAACCGTCTGTGTGGTACGCAAAAGCACTTACTGTAATAACTCAAGTGATAGTAAGAATGTTTGTCACACCTGCTTACCAGATATGTGCACTCCTGCTTATAACAATTACCATTTCAACAAAATTTCAAACAAAGCTGCTATAGCCTTAAGAGACAGTGTTGGTTTTATGTTGACAAACCCACTCACTTTCATAACCACACTCTGGAAATTGTCCTGACTTACAGTAGAGTGGTTTCCAATAACGTCCTGCGTAAAAACCCATTACTATCAGATAATTTCTTAATAGTGTTTAATGTCACTCTAAAAGACTTTCCTGTGCCATGGGACCAAGCCATAATGAAAACAACCTTAAAGATAAATCTATCACAAGTTTCAAAGATCTAATACAGCCAATGCTAAACTCCACTTCAGGTGAGCCAACTCACAGATGTGTCAGTCCCTCGGTCATGAATCAAAAAGTGGACAACACTAGAGAGTCTTTAAAATGCAGCAGCTTATGTAAAACAGAAAACTACCAGGATTAGGTCAGTATCATCCTGGTACAATAGCCAGCTGCACTCTCTAAAACAGAATCGGGCGGCACGGTGGCTGAGTGGATAGCACTCTCGCCTCTCAGCAAGAAGGTCCTGGGTTCGAATCCCGGTCGGACCAGGACCTTTCTGAGTGGAGTTTGCATGTTCTCCCCGTGTCTGCGTAGGTTTCCTCCGGGTACTCCGGTTTCCCCTACCACTAAAAATATGTCCAATAGTTCTGACATGCGCTTCCTGTACTGGCGACCCTGCTCCCATCTCTGTGTGGAGTGAGAGACAAATGCCCAAAAATTAACAATTGTAAACCGCTTTGAGACTCAGATCTGCAGTGAAAAGGCGGTATATAAATAAAAACTTACTTACTTACTTACTAGAACATTAGAAAGCTAGAGAGGCTATATCCCAGAAAATGGAGAACTAGTTTCCTAAACTACAAGAATGCCTGGCCTGACTCTCGCCAGACCCATGTAGTCCGCTGCACTTCACACATGCGTCTGGGCCTCCTCCATAGCAGTTGGATTTCAGAAGGCGGGGCCTTCTAAAAAAAAATATCCTTGTATGTGAATGGATAAACCACTTCCGTCAGTTATCTTGAATGACGTCTTCCTTCAACCACTCACATTGAAGCACACGACTCCCAAATGCGGGCAAGATTTTACAGCCCAAAACCTGCGAGAATGCCCCAAAAAAAAACATCCAGAATGATTGTTTGGCTAAAAACCTAATGTAATCAACTTGGGCTATCATGATTCTGTTTATTGTCTTTCTGTTTATTTATTACCAACAAGTCTCTTGAAGAAAAGTATGCGGGAAACCACCCGACCTGGCAACCCTGCTGCATAGTGTTGTAAACAGGAACACCTAAACCAGTGCTTAAACCAAACTTTACACGAACATTTGACTCTTAAAACACATATTACAACATGGAACCATCAACATCTCCCCTCATATTGCATTAAAAGTGACATCCGTGTCTTAATTTGTTTGTATTTAAACTTTTTAAAAATACACGGACTTCATGTCCGCCATCTTCAGAATCAGAATCAGAATAATTTTTATTGCCACGTTAGTAACAGGAAGTCACAGACTTGGAAATTGCTTTGGCTCAGTGCAACAGTAAGAGAGAGATAACAAAAAATAAAGAATAAAAAACACTTCTAAGGAATACATTTAAATTTAAAATAGAGTTACAGTTACTATTTACAATATACAAGTGCACATGGTGCACACAATGTAAGGTGACAGCAGTACAGTGAAGTAAAGTGACGTTATAAAGGGCGGGAGGACAGGTTAAGAAGTGTTCAAGAGTCCAACAGCAGAGGGGAAGTGCTGTTCTTGTGGCGAGAGGTTCTAGTCCTGATGGACCGCAGTCTCCTGCCTGAGGGGAGTGGTTGGAATAGTCCATGTGCAGGGTGAGAGGGGTCGGCTGTGATACGACCAGCCCGGCCTCGAGCTCGGGCGACGTACAGGTCCTGCAGCGATGGAAGGCTGCGGCCGATCACTTCCTCTGCAGAGCGCACAATGCGCTGTAGTCTCTGTTTGTCCCTGACTGTGGCTCCAGTGAACCACAGGGTGATGGAGGAGGTGAGGATGGACTCGATGATGGCCGTGTAGAACTGCACCAACATCTGTGCAGGCAGCTTGGCTTTCCTGAGCTGCCGCAGGAAGTACATCCTCTGCTGGGCCTTCTTGATGAGGGAGCTGATGGTCGGCTCCCACTTGAGGTCCTGGGTGATGGTGGTGCCCAGGAAACGATAGGACTCCACAGAGGTGATGGGGGAGTCCATAACGGAGGGTAGGGACGGGGGGACAGTGCTCTTCCTGAAGTCCACAATCATCTCCACTGTGTCTCCAGTGTCTCAGAGTGGCCGGAAACACGTGGTCCGGGCCAGGAGCTTTGCGGGGGTGCAGCTTCAAGAAGAGTTGTTTAATATCTTTAGAGGCTATTGTCAGGCTTGGGGCAGGGCTGATGGGTGTGTCGTTAGAGTAGTGGGGGGTGGGGGAGGTGTCAGGGGCAGCATCAAAGCGACTGAAAAAAAAGTTCAGATCGTCAGCTAGCTTGTAGTTGTCAGCACGGGGGGGGGGGGGGGGGCTTTGGGCTTGTAGTTGGTGATCTCCCATAGGCCCCTCCAGACAGAAGCAGTATCGTTGTTACCAAACTGTTCCTGTAGTCGTTCTCTGTGCCGGGACTTGGCTGCTTTCAGTTCGTCCCTGAGCTGATATTTAGCTGCTTTGTAGCCGCTGCGGTCCCCCTCCCTGAAAGCAGACTCCTTTGCTTTCCTGAGCTGCCGGAGTTTTGCAGTGAACCAGGGTTTGTCGTTGTTGTAGATGACCCTGGTCCTTGTTGGAATAATGCTATCCTCGCAGAAGTGAATGTATGACGTCACAGTGTCCGTGTATTCATCCAAACTATCTGTGGCAGCTCTGAAAAGGTCCCAGTCTGTAGATTCCATGCATGCGGGCAGCTCTTCCACAGCTTCATCAGACCACACTTTGGAGCTCCTCACTACAGGTTTAGAGAGCTTTAGTCTCTGTCTGTAAGCAGGAACCAGATGTATCATGGAGTGATCTGAGAAGCCGAGGGCTGCTTTAAGAACAGCGCGAAAAGCTCCGCGCACAGTGGTGTAGCAATGATCCAGAGTGTTCTCCTCTCTGGTCGGGCATTTGATAAACTGTCTATATTTGGGTAATTCCTGGCTCAAGTTTCCCTTATTAAAATCCCCCAGGATAATAATCAGAGTCCGGGTATAAACGCTCCATACACAGTACTTGGATTGTACAATCTTGGATTGCTTTCGCTGGTGCGTGAGACACGCTTGAGAAGGCGGTGCAAACCCGACGTAACACCGGCGATCCTGATTGGTCGATTATTTTCTGATCTGCTGAAGGAGTTCGGTATGCGCTCGATACCAGACCCATCTGGTTCAGCCAAATGCCTCTGGTGGAGCATGGCGGAACTACAAGGGTCTGGCGAGAGTCAGGCTAAAGAATGCCCTTCACAGGGCTCAAACTCAATACTATTCTGCTTTAATAGAAGCAAATGTTATTGTGTAATTTAAATTTTTAGAAAACCTGTGCATGTTACGAAAGGGGGCTGAAGCAAAAAGGTTATTTTAATCCAATCTCCCCCATCCATTCAAACACAATAAAAAAAAAAAAATTCAGAACCCTACAATACCCGCCAATTAAACACATAACAGTCGCACGCACGTAAACAAGACCGCGTTCAGACTAGGGCTGGGCGATTAATCGATTTTAATCATTAATTCGAGTTTTACGTTTAGGGCAATTTCTTTTTTTTTAAAATTCGATTTTTATTTTCTCCAGCGCAGAACTACAGCGCTAACGCGCTAACCGCGGGTCTATGGTGTTGAGCAGTCATTTTGAAGCTAACCTAATGCTAACAGTCTCCCTCTGGCCTGATGCTCGCTCTCACAGTTGGTGCTGTTGCAATAGCACTTCAAACGTTCCAGAATCAGACTTTATTTAAATCGCCAGAACACACACACACACGCACGCAAGCTCCGGTCGTTATGTCCGTACGCCACATCTTTCACGCTCTCTCACGCTCGTTATTCCAAAGCGCACTCCCGTGTCCGTGGCGCGGACACACTCGTGTCCCACTGAGCCGCTGCACTTTGGGGAAAGACACGTCTCACACATTGCTCTCATTGCTCTGATACAAACAACGTGTTCCCCGCTGTCTGTTAGCTACAGTAGCTGCTACAGTAGCTGTTAGCTACAGCATCAGAATGTAAACAGGAAGCTCGCATAATGCGGGAGTCACTGAAGTTAGTATTAGCGCCACCAGCTGGACCGAGCGTTGTACTACAGCACAGTTACTCAGGCACAGTTGAAAGAACAAGCATGAAAACCCGAGGAGGCTTTTGGAAAAGACTGTCTGTTACAACATTTCTATTTTGAGTAATCAGTTTTAAAAATGTGATATTTCATGTAAATAATGCATGTGTTTAATAGGATTGATATATTTGCGATGGGCCTTGTTTGTGTGATTTAAGTTATTTTGAAGGTGCATAGTGTCATTGTAAGTGAAGTTATTATAAAACTGTTAAGCTACATTTTCACTGTTTACAATGGCAGAGCCATCTCGTTTACAAGCATGTTTTAAGGCTTAATTCCTGTTACACTTATGCTCCATGGGGATTTAGATTAAACTGCATAAAGGAAAATCTATTTCTTTGTCAGTTGTAGTTTGTTTTTAAATAGAAAAAAATAAATCGATTAAAATCGAAAATCGGATTTGGTGTGAAAAAATCGGAGATTTTTTTTTTTTGCCATATCGCCCAGCCCTAGTTCAGACCATAGACTGTATATATTAATGGACAGAGTCACGCCTATCTCTGCCGTTCTAACTAATGGGCCAAAAAATGTGCTCTACTGGAGCAATCCAAAATGGCCGCGAGTGGTCCCGCCCACAAGAAAATTGTGAAAACACGCATCTGCGCATGCGTCAGCCGGCGCAACTCCATTCATTAGAACGAGAGACTTAAAAAATTCACAGCAAGTAAACTAGAGTGGACCAAAAAAATCCACCCCCCTCAGCATTGACACACATGTGGAACGGAGCTTTGGGCCAAGAGTCAACTTTTGGTCCATCCTGTAAAGACGTTTTTGAGAGATCTGCCAATGCTATATGTTAGCATTGGCTAATTCTACTTCTGGGTCCACCCCCATCGGCCCGGGGTGGTATTGCAAGCATGTCAGCGCACGTCATTTTGGCTACTTTTGAGCTGGGACCCGCTGCACAGAGGCTGCACTGCACTGAGTTTTACAATGGATCTATTATTATATATAGTTTTACAAACCCGGTGTGAAGAGAAGAGACGCGTGGAGGAATAACGTCTGCGGGAGCTTAAAACAACGGCGATCAAAGAAGCAGGACATACACAGCTGCGGCAGACATGGCTAAAAGCTCATGTTAGCATTAGCGTTAGCCACAGCGCCCTATCTGCATCACGATAAGAAACAACGTTCACTCACACTGCTGATAAAGTATTCTTGCGATCGTTTTGTGGGGATTCTGTGTGTGTTTTATTTGAGGCTTTTTCCTTGAATTAGTGTATTTGAAACTTGGGACATAATAGTTGGACTGTGCTCGGATCGGATCAGAACATCCTGAGACTGTGTTGCAGATTCTGCCTCGTACACAGGGTGGCTTTAAGTACTGTATTTCTTTTTTAAACTGTTTTTTAAAGGTGTAATCACAGTTTTTTAAAAGGTACTCTAGAACAGGGAACAATTTTGCTTCAAGCCGAGGACCAGACTGGTTTAGTGTTTATTAGAACATATTTAAATGATTATATATAATTGAACCAAGGCCTAACACAGTATATGATTAGATACCATATTTTATTTTATGATTAAATGAATAATTTAATATTTTTGTATGGCAGTGTCAGTCATTTCAAGTGAAAACATTTTTCAACAGGTTCACTGACATAATCACACTTCCTTCAAAGAGAAAACACATGGCCTGAATATTAAATGAATAATACAGAATTTTTGTATGACTATTTGCGGCCGGTTCTAATACTAATCAATTATCATTCTGGAGACCAAGATAATTCATTCGCGGGTTGGATCTGGCCCTGACTTTGACACTTATGCTCTAGAACCTGTCATTTGCATTTTCAGACCTCAAAAACACAGGTTTCGGACGATTGATGACACTAGATTTAGAAAGTATTTTTTGTTTGAGCCTAAATTAGACTTCATGAGGACAGAGCCTTAGTTTGTTTAATTACTGGGACAATCCGAATGGAACAAAAAATCTATGGAGCTGAGTGATACAGACTACTATTGTTTTTGTTTTTCACTCAGCGCAGGTCATGCTTGAACAGGATCTCAAGCCCACGGTTGTTCCACGGGCTAAAGCTAAAGAGACAAAAATACTTATTTAATGTGTCCTAAATAAGAGCATCCTTTAGGCTGACACTCCAAAAGCCTTTTCCAAAACGCCCACACGCTCTCTTGCAAGTACCAACAATGGAGCCATAATAATTAGCCAGTGTTTTGACTCCAGTAGCAGACAGGTGAAGGAAGGTGGGGCCGAGAGTAGGTGGGAAGCTAAGCAACCGCAAAACCCCAGGGCAAGAGACACTCCAGTTTGATAAACGCTCAATAAATGAGTCAGAGATGAGAGCTGGGTTTCAATAAAAAGTTGACAAGTGCCTGTGGCTGTGACCGATTAATCACAACTAAGAATATTGAAATGGTACTCAACTAATTTCATTAATTGATTAAATAAAAATGTCAACCTTCCATAGACCTGCAGAGAGGAGATTTAATATCCAAGTTAAACTTCGATTTTGAAATACAATCTCTTTATCAAACAAACAACTCAATATGTAAAAAGCAATTACATGGAGCAAAGAACTATATTTTATTACTAGGGCCGGGACTTTAACGCATTGATTAAGATGAATTAATTACAAGTGGACGGGGCCTCAGACAGACCGATTGAACTGGAGCACCAACTAACGCGCATGAATTCGGTTCAGACAACAACAAACCACAGTGGCAGAGTGAACATAAACAAAGAAGCGTTATTTGGCCCCATGGATGGGAAAAAAAATACTTCTCACTGTTCTCAGGTAAAATATTTATATGCGATTAATTGCAATTAAGTATCTCGGGGTCTTGTTCACGAGTGAGGGAAGGATGGAGCGTGAGATTGACTGGCGGATCGGTGCAGTCTGCGCAGTGATGCGGTCGCTGTATCGGACCGTTAAAGAGGGAGCTGAGCCGAAAGGCAAAGCTCTCAATT